GTCAAATCGGAGGGCCTGTTGTCTGGACCTATGACAGTCTATGGGGGTGCCACAGGGTTCAATTCTTGGGCCAACTCTTTTCTCCGTGTATATCAATGATGTCGCTCTTGCTGCTGGTGACTTTCAGATCCACCTCTACGCAGACGACACCATTTTGTATACATCTGGCCCTTCATTGGACACTGTGTTAACAAACCTCCAAACGAGCTTCAATGCCATACAACACTCCTTCCGTAGCCTCCAACTGCTCTTAAACACTAGTAAAACTAAATGCATGCTCTTCAATCGAACGCTGCTGGCACCCGCCCACCCGACTAGAATCACTACTCTCCACGGGTCTGACCTAGAGTATGTGGACAACTACAAATACCTAGGTGTCTGGTTAGACTGTAAACTCTCCTTCCAGACTCACATTAAGCATCTCCAATCCAAAGTTAAATCTAGAATCTGCTTCCTATTTCGCAACAAAGCCTCCTTCACTCATGCTGCCAAACATGCCCTCGTAAAACTGACTATCTTACCGATCCTTGACTTCGGCGATGTCATTTACAAAATAGCCTCTACTCAGCAAATTGGATGTAGTCTATCACAGTGCCATCCGTTTTGTCACCAAAGCCCCATATACTACCCACCACTGTGACCTGTACGCTCTTGTTGGCTGGTCCTCACTACATATTCGTCGCCAAACCCACTGGCTCCAGGCCATCTATAAATCACTGCTAGGCAAATCCCCGCCTTATCTTAGCTCATTGGTCACCATAGCAACACCCACCCGTAGTATGCGCTCCAGCAGGTATATCTCACTGGTCATCCCCAAAGCCAACACCACCTTTGGCCGCCATTCCTTCCAGTTCTCTGCTGTCAATGACTGGAACGAACTGCAAAAATCTCTGAAGCTGGAGACTCTTATCTCCCTCACTAACTTTAAGTGTCAGTTGTCAGAGCACCTTACTGATCACTGCACCTGTACACAGCCCATCTGAAATTAGCCCACCCAACTACCTCATCCCCATATTGTTATTTGCTCATTTGCACCCCAGTATCTCTATTTGCACATCATCTCTTGCACATCTATCATTCCAGTGTTAATACTAATTGTAATTATTTTTTACTATGGCCTATTTATTGCCTTACCTCCATAACTTGCTACATTTGCACACACTGTATATTTATTTTCTGTTGTATTTTTGACTTTGTTTTGTTTTACCCCATATGTAACTCTGTGTTGTTTTTATCGCACTGCTTTGCTTTATCTTGGCCAGGTCATAGTTGTAAATGAGAACTTGTTCTCAACTGGCTTACCTGGTTAAATAAAGGTGAAATAAAAAATAAATAAAAAGAAGAGAGGAGGCTATTTTTACAAGATTAAGGGTGGGACACAGCCAGTTGAATAAAACATTAAATGTGATAGGAAAGCATCCAACAGGAAAGTGTGATTATTGTCAGGAAACAGAGACCGTGGAGCATGTATCGCTACAGTGTGGGCAGTGTCAGAGGGAAAGAGAGAGGATGAGATCTAGTATGAGGGAGAAGGGGATACAGGCAATTAGTTTAAAGAGTATATTGAGTAAAACGTCAAATATTTTGTTATTTTTTAAGAGAAACGGGGCTGGCAGGTAGGATTTAGTTTCTCCCTGTCTCTGGCCCACACTCCAGTACAGTAGGTGGCGGTAATGCACCATAACGTTGGATGCCAACCGCCGATAAACCTCACCGAAGACAAAGAAGAACACGCTGGTAATCGGAGGCTGCATCCCAATATGGCGACCGGGGTGTGTCGTAAGGAAAGTAGTAGGCGTGTGGAAAGGAGTGGGTGTGTCGAAAGCGCTCTGCTGTAGGTTAGGCAGTTTTTATTGAGTGGTGTTGTTTTTCTTCAATTTCTTACCTGGCAACTACCGTACATTGAGCTACCATACCGCGAGAGTTTGTACTTCTGTTTTTAAGCGAGAGGATGAATCTTGAGTCAAATTTCACTGTTAGTTTTACACAAATAATTGTACATTTTCTGTTATAAAACTGACGATTGTTTGTTTTGATTAAAAGTATTTATGATGGGTGTACTGTTGCTTCATGCGTTGTATGCGTATGCTTACTGTGACTGTCACCCTGATATTGGCTACTAGGTAGCTATTTCCCACGCCGTTGCCGGACAGTAGTGCTTGTCAAGCGTGAGCGAAGGGCACAGTGTCCTGGTGTTGTTGCCTTTCATGCCCTCCCCATTGAGTAGTAGACTGTATGGATCAAGGTGACTATCACCTTGGTTACCAATATTAGTTATTTATTGTGTAGGCTGCTATCCTACTTGAAATAAAATCATGTGAGAGAAAAATAAATGGCCACGTTAGCTACCGCCAGCGACACGACCCTGATACCCAGTAAGAAGCACTTCAAGTCGGCAGGCACGTCTATACAACACCAGTGCACTGGTCACCGGCTTATTTCGTCGTGCAGCCCAATCAGCCACGCCAAACTGTCTTGAGTGGCAACAAACCTGCCCAATTGTCTGATTCGCTTTCCATACACCCACTCCTTTCGACACACCCACTCGCCCATACTCCAGTTGCCATATTGGGCTGCAGCTACCCACTTGGAGAATCGTGGTTCCAAACATTGAATAGGTACAAAGATCTCCGGGGTGAACCATTCATTCAAAAGATTAGAAATGGATTTTAAAAAACTGTGAAAGATTTAAAAAGAGTCAAGGGTACAAGACTGTGGGCAAAAAAACTACTCATCCCATACAGCAGGGTTCTTCAATTCCGGTCCTGGAGGGCCGAAACACCTCTGTTTTTCATCCTCTCATTCTAATCAGGGGCTAATTCAGACCTGGGACACCAGGTGAGTGCAATTAACTACCAGGTAGAAATAAAAAACAGAAGTGTTTCGGCCCTCCAGGACCAGAATTGAAGAACCCTGCCGTACAGCATTGCAGTCTGTATTGTCCAATCACAGAGCAGATACAAGTCACGTAACCACTGGACTAGTTCCTTTGAAATTTTGAGAAACATGGTGGTTGGTGGTTAGGCGAGGTGTTGCATTTCCAATTTCTGTCAGCTAGCTAATTAAGTAATAATGCCTGAGAAGCCGGTGTTTGGAGGATATATTGCCACGGGTGTTGTTAGGCCCGAGACGAACAACACAGCCATGGTCCAGTATTTTGTCCCAGACTGTAACCACAGACATGTCACAGGGGCTATAAAGCTGAAGCATCCGTTTAGAACGTTTTCTCACCACAGAATATGGTAGTCGAGGGTAGTGGGAGAGGATGGAACTAGGTGAAACTGTGCCGACATTCTGCTAATTTTCTCAACAATGAAACATCTGATCTCAATATATGTTTCTGTTCCCAAAACTAGAATCTGTTACGAACACAGTGCATTATGTTTTATAGACTTGCTGCCTTGCCAAAGTAAAATAAAATACAAGAAAAACATTGTTTAGAAGGAGTGCAAGGTCGAATTGCGTTTCAGAGAGGAGGCGTTCCCTAACAGAAATATGCTACAACGTGCCAATAGGATCTTGCTAGCTCATGCTTGGCTTTGCCCACCTCCATGCTTGTTAAGCCCACTATGCTTAATTTGCTCCCACTGTAAACGACACTGATTAACTATCTTGGGTTAGTTATAAATATCTTTGCTGTAACCATCGCTCCGGAGTCCATGACTGCACTGCATTTTACAGTTTTTACACGTTTAGTGTAGCCAATATCAGGGTGACACAGTAAGCACACGCATACAAGCAACAGTTCACCCAACATTATTAGTACTTAATTCCAAACTCTTGCGGTAGTTCCGTGTCATGGTAACTTGTCGCTTAGAACCGAACTAGAGAGGAAGAGGCAAAGCGAGAGGTTTTAGTCCACCCAAAATCTGTCCACGCCCAGCAAAAAATGTAATTGATAATTTGCTACGTGAGGCTTATTTGATCGAATAGAAGTTTTGTAATAGTTAGGTTGTTACAAATGAAGAAGAAGAAAATTGACTTCTTTAAAATGGAGATAGCCTCAATGGCGCTGCCTATGCGGTCACATACTCTTTAATGGAACAGATACAAAGATGAGTCCTCTATCTATGTCTATGGCCTGTTGTTCACACACTTATCTGCCCTCTCATTGGCTAGAATGGTCCCACCTGATCTCGCCTCCTCCCGCCTGCCTTCCATCTTTGAGGACATGTATTTCCATTGTTAGAGCGGCCACTCGAATATCTTGTCAATATAATAGACAATCTTTGACCGAACAGACCATAGACTGTAAAAATGGTCTGTTTCTGTGGCGGCAGAAACGCTAAGGCTCATGGTTAGTGTAGTTTTTGGTGCTCCTTGAAACCAGGAACGTATGGTAAAAACAAGCAGTGGCGATTTTATCATGTAAATCTTGGTGGGGCAAACTCAAATCAGGTTCATGCTCTAGAGGCTTACCTAGAAAGACTCACACCTGTAATTGCTGCCAAAGGTGATTATAACATGTATTGACTCAGGGGTGTGAATACTTATGCAAATTAGATATTTCTGTATGTTGTGTAGATGGGTGATAAAAAATCTATTTAATCCATTTTGAATTCAGGCTGTAACACAACAAAATGTGGATTAAGTCAAGGGGTATGAATACATTCTGAAGGCACTGTATCTGCACATATGTGACGTAGTACGCAATTCTCGGGGAACACTTTTGGCTCGTGAGTGCTACTTTCAGAACTACTGGCAAAAAAGTATACAAAAGTACAGAAGAATCTCTTTAATGTTTAATTATTTTATCAATTAAATAATGTTGCATATTGCATTTACAACACAACAGTACAACAACAAATCAAAATACCCCAAAAATAACTTGAAACATATGTTTTAAATGCAATGTATTTTTATTACTATTCTAAAGACATTAAATTATAAACAAACAATGGAAGTCTTCAAAGGTGGCAGTCTCCATGTGATCTCATTTGGAGATTTAATATCTGCAGCTTTTATTCAATATCACTTGGTTTAAGAAGTAGTCCTCAGTCTTAATTGACGCAAACCTCAGTGAGCCAAGCAGTGGCAATAGCATCAGATCGCCTTCTAGCCTCCTTGGAGATTCTCACAGCCTCATAGAGAACCACTATTACGATGAAGCTATAGAAAACGGGCCCCAAAATCAGGTTCACCTTCACAAGTGGCTCGGAGTAAGAAGGGTCAGTCAATATGTTGACTCTGGGTTTGATCTTCAGGGTGCTCTTCACCAATGACTTAAAATTGGTCTCTTTTGTAGCATCAGGGTTGTTCTGAACAGAGTGGTCCTTCACTGGCATCAATGGCTTGTGCTCTGGAACATAATTCAGGGGCAGGGACTCATCAAAGTCCGGGTGGTCTATGACATTTTTTGAGGAATATCCTTTTGTCAACTGGCCCACGTTACCTGGAGAAGAATCGTCTTTCACCCGTAAACTCGCAAGTTGTTCCAGCAATGACTTAAAATTGGTCTCTTTTGTATTATCAGGGTTGTTCTGAACAGAGTGGTCCTTCACTGGCATCAATGGCTTGTGCTCTGGAACATAATTCAGGGGCAGGGACTCATCAAAGTCCGGGTGGTCTTTGACATTTTTTGAGGAATATCCTTTTGTCAACTGGCCCACGTTACCTGGAGAAGAATCGTCTTTCACCCGTAAACTCACAAGTTGTTCCAGCAATGACTTAAAATTGGTCTCTTTTGTAGCATCAGGGTTGTTCAGAATAGGGTGGTCCTTCACTGGCATCAAAGTCTTGTGCTCTGAAGACACCAACACATTTGCAGCAACAAACGATAGGAGACAGAAAATAACAGCCAACAATAACATCTTCATGATGCACAGCCCACCCTTCTGGGAGAGCTGTGCCATTTTGATTAAAGAAATCGTCTTTCAAAAGTAGGCAGTACAAATTACAAGTCAAACTACTAGTTGGCTAGCTGTGCTTTGTAAAAGTGAATTGGGTTTACTGTTCACTGTCAAACATACACAAGATATGGACCCAACATGATGTAATAGAATAATCGATTATGACATCACAACTACCAGAATGTTGATAGTGGGACTGTCATGAAACATAATATTATATGGACCCAGTATGTTACAAGAGTTCTAGAATGTTGACAGTGGACAATCAACAACTCTGTAACCCGCTCTTCATTTTATTCATTAATTCATTATAATTAATTTATTTATTTATTTCTATGGATACATTTGGCAATATGTTTGATGCGCAGTCCCTGTCCCTTAACTGGGGCGGGTCTCACGTCCGACATGCTTTTTCAGACAACTTTGGCAAACGCCCCCGTGACCTACAGCTCCTCATATACTACCAGGTCATGGTAGTATCTACACTGGTGCTGGTGCTTGCGATGACCTAGCTCATTATGAGCTTTCTGACCCGGGGAGTGAGACACTTTTGGGCCTTGCTCGTGGCCCGCACCGCCCCCCTCAGGGAGAGGTTCTGCAGGCTTCTCTACCGCCTCACCGGCCGAAAGAGGAGAGGGAAAATGATGTGGGCTCCACAACTGTTTAGCAAAAAAAAAAAATAATAATAATTGAGTTAATAAAGCCGCATACAAACATGGTCTCTTTTTTGCTTTCTTGAGTAAGGCAGCTCCAAAATGCAGGTGTTTCAGCCTAGCTCAGTGCTTTCTGTGGTGGTGGGGCAGCCAACGGAAAATATGGAGCGTAGGGGTTGGTAATGTTTTCTAGTTGTGCCTTGATTGACTCAGTGTTCTGTCACTCATGGGGACACTACGTCACCGCAAACTCTACGGAGAGACCTCGAAAATTCAAGCCCCTTGGGTGCTGCCATAGAGTTACATTAGAAGTGCCCATCCAGGCCTCCCGAGTAGCGCAGTGGTTTAAGGCACTGCATCGCAGTGCTAGCTGTGCCACTAGAGATCCTGGTTTGAGTCCAGGCTCTGTCGCAGCCGGCCGCGACCGGGAGACCCATGGGGTGGCGCACAATTGGCCCAGCGTCGTCCAGGTTAGGGGAGGGTTTGGCCGGCAGGGGTATTCTTGTCCCATCGCACACTAGCGACTCCTGTGGCGGGCCGGGCGCAGTGCATACTGACACGGTCGCCAGGTGTATGGTGTTCCCTCCGACACATTGGTGCGACTGGCTTCCAGCTTCCTGAGGACGCACGGCTCTCGAACTTCGCCTCTCCCGAGTGCGTACGGGAGAGGCGAAGGGACAATTGGATACCACAAAAAAGGGGTAAAATAATAAAATAAAATAAAAAGAAGATAAATTGGACAGATAAAATCACGTTATATCTACCGTAGCTTTGATTGGACTGATCATGTCAACATCATACTTTCAAAATCTTAGCTAGCAGTCATCATCATGAATCTACTGGCAAATCCTTTTCGATCCTTGTAATATGAAGATCAATTATGAACAGAAATGATAGACAAAACATTATTGGACATAAACAGTACACAACAAGTTGGAAATCACAGTTATAGTCCAATGAATGTATTGTTTAGAGTTGTGTTGTGTAGTGGTTTTGCTGGCATGCAACAAATATTTTCTATTTATTTTTTCCCACCAAGATTTACATGCTAAAATCGCCACTGCATAAATAACCATACCGGTTTACATTCACATTAGCCAGGAGAAATCACAGATGCTTCCAATGCTTCACCAGGCCAATGCTTCACCAGGCCAGAGATCATTCAGGAGATGGACATGGACAGTCGACCCGCCTGAAGAACACCCTGATGCTGTTGCTGCTGTGAATACCACTCAGGCCAAAGTGAACAGCACCAAAGGCCAGTAAATAGAGAGCCGGCACCGCAAGTACAGGCACTGCTGAGGCCTGATAGTCAGTCAGGGGTGTGGATTGCTCTAAATGAGGACACATCGTTGAGCAACATGACATTATATATTATTGGGTAATCACAATTATGATTTTGCACTTGAGCAATACAAAATGTTTTACCTGTCATTGCAGTTTCCGTCGTTCTATTGAATTGAACATTTAAAAATATCCAGATGATACAGTTTACAGCTGATAAGACGTCATGTTACAAGGCCCTACTCTGGGAAGTACTGGTAAATATAAAGGTAAATGGTGAACGACGATCAAGATACGGTGGCGCTCCACATAAGTGCTACTTACAGTACTACTACTACTAGCGTAGTAGGTGCATAAACGCTATTTGCAACACTGAGAGTACACAGTGCTTGTAAAAGCACTGTTTGTAAAATATAATGTGTTCTCAATGATTCACCTTTAAATAAATACCCTCCACTACATCCCTAGTCCTACAGTCATACAGTATAGAGGTAATTCACACTGAACACAGGAAAGAGGAACTTTGAAACAGGGACACTTCATTTCCAGTTGGACAACATCATGGAAGACATGGGGACGCTCCCCACTCAATAATGGCTGGCTATTGTGAGGATAGACTTGTGCGGTCCTAGCAAATATCTTGAATTATAAATGAGGGATAGAATTGGCTTAGGGGGTAGATTAATGGAGCCTTGCATGACCCTCTTTGGCGTGGTGTGTGCGTGTGTGTGTGTGTGTGTTCTAGCATTCTAGGAATGGGTTACTGAACAGTCTGAGGTCTATCAGTGAAAGTGAGTGAGTATGGAGGAGATGGATGCGTTTCCCATGGGGATGAGGCGGAGAAGCATCTAGGCCATTGATTTTCAATGTTCCCTGTGTTTTTAATGGGCACCACGACCAGGAGTAGATCAAGCCAACCAGACACACACACACACCGACTACATAGCGCTTTTGAGTTTCATTTATCATTCTGTTGCTTTTAACTCTACCTACTCTCACTCACTTTTAGACTTGAGCATGAACCCAAGCTAGGTGTCCTTCTCTCTCATCTGGGCAGGCTTTCAAGAAGCCAACATCTGATAGAGGTCATAAAATCTCCTCATGAATTAATGAGAGCCTGTTGTGGCAATACCAGAGTGGGACTCCATTTCAATCTGAGAGAAATGCAACAGGGAGCATGGAGGTGGAGATCTACAGTCTATACTGTGTGGTTGTGGTTGTGTGTGTGTGTGTGTGTGTGTGTGTGAGAGTGAGAGTGAGAGTGAGTGAGTGAGTGAGTGAGTGAGTGAGTGAGTGAGTGAGTGAGGAGTGAGTGAGTGAGTGAGTGAGTGAGTGAGTGAGTGAGTGAGTGAGTGAGTGAGTGAGAGAGAGAGAGAGAGAGAGAGAGAGAGAGAGAGAATAAAATCAGGTCTCTAGAGAGGTTTCACTGAGCTGAGTGCTGAGATCAAACCTGTGCCAATGTCTTCCTGAGCAGGAAGTTGCCTGAGGGACAGACTCCCTGTCGAGTTCCTTCCTGGTGTTACGCTGTTTTGTGTGTGTATGACACTGCAGGTTGAGCAGGTTTCTATGGACTCTTACCTTTCACACGGTTGACTTTGAGGCAGGCAAGTTGTTTGATGCATTAGGTTTGGCCTAGAGCAGACTTATACAGGCCTGAAGCTCCACAGCACTGCTACTATTTTTCATATTTTCATATTTCCATCTACAGGGATGGATTCAGACCTGGGACAGTCTGGTTAGTGTACTCTCTGGTTATTTAATGGCATTAACCAATACATTAACTACCAGATCTTGACGGTCAGATTTGAATACCCTGGCCTTAATTGAGAACAGCTGAAAGCTAGAGCTAACACTTTTAGGAAAAGAGAATTGTAAGCATTACGCTAGTACATGCTTTACCTCTTCTGATACTTAACTTAATTACTTATTCTGGTATTGTATACTGTTATTTTGGGGCATCTGATGAGAGACAAACTGATGATTGAATTCTATGTGCTGCTTTTGAAATACAACCAAATACTAGAGTGTAACAGATTTAGGAGAAAATCCCAGAGCCTCCCTCCCAAAACAACAACAACACATACACACACATTCTATCTCTCTCCCTTCCAAATCCCCCCACTCATTCGGCAGTTCATCCGCCTGTGTTTTTTTATGTGTTGCTCTTTTGTCACACTGCATAAACAGATTATGTTGAGCCTTATATGGCTGATGTGCCGTGATAGAGAGAGTGTGGATCAGCTATCTCTGCTATCTATACCGCTGTGAGGATAGAGGATCAAGAGGGGAGAGGGGTTAGCAGAGATGCTAGGCTAATCAAGCGCAATGATCATAAGAGGCATTAGCGCAACAGAGTGGGAGTCCTGACCTTGTTTTGACTGAGCGAGAGGAGAGAGAGGGGGATAAAAAAGAGAGAGAGAAAGATAGAGAGACCAATCAGGAGGTGGAGAAAAGAGTAGGATGAAGGGAGAGAGTGCATGAGTGCAATCAAAAGAGGAGAAAGAGGGAGAGAGGGAGAAGGTGATGAAAAAGAGGGTGGGTGGTAGTGAGAGAGAGAGAGAGAGAGAGAGAGAGAGAGAGAGAGAGAGAAGAGAGAGAGAGAGTGAGAGTGAGTGTGAGTGAAAGAGACAGGGGGCAAGTGTTTGGTCATTGAGCGAGCGTGGGGATAAGTGTATGGTTAATTACTGCCACTGTTTCTGTCAGCAAGCAGGCGACTAGCTCGGGCTCCAGTGGAGTGGCTGGCCACTCTAGCCTCCCCTCCTTGTGTCTGTCTCCTTCACTTCCCAACCCCTAGTCTCTCTGCTTGACTTCTCCTCTCCTCTCATCTCTGTCTTTACTTAGTCTCCCTCCTCCTCTCCACTCTTCTCCTCTCTACTTCTCTGCTACTCCTCCACTCTGAATTCTCTTCCGCGATTCCTCCTCCTTTCCTCGGTCTTCACGGCA